TTGGTAAATTTTGATCAATATTATTATGCATATTATGATCCTCATAGTTCATTAAAGTGAAATGGAGAGTGTGGGTTTTATGAATATTTAATTTTAGCAGATTGGTTCTGAACCATGTATTAATATTGTAAAATATTCTGGTCATGGCTGATTTGTAGTCAGCGTATTCTGGATTAGTCACAATTATACTTGTATCATCTGCATATAAGAATATATTTGTTCCATTAATTGAAACCTTAGTTATGTCATTTATATACAAGAGGAAAATAAGTGGGCCAAGAATTGAACCTTGGGGTACACCAAATTTTACTTCTGCCCAACTAGACGAGCTATTAATAGAACTGTTAGGGCCAAGGGTTACTCTTTGATATCTTCCATTCAGGTAAGATTTAATTAAGGCACCAAATTTGCCAGTTATTCCATAAAACTCTAATTTTTTGATAAGTATATCATGATTGATGCAATCAAAGGCTTTGTGTAAGTCGCAAAATATTCCTCCAACAAACTGTCTGTTATTCATTGCTTTTAGTATTTCCTCTATTAATTTGAAAGACACTTTCTCTGTAGATGAATTAGGTCTAAAACCATATTGATTATTGTCCAATATAAGATTATTGTCTATATGTTCATACAATTTATTATAGATAACCCTTTCAAGAACCTTAGAAAAGGCTGACAATAATGAAATAGGCCTATAGTTGGCTGGTTCATATTTATTATCACTTTTGAAAATTGGCTTAATGACAGAAAATTTCATTCTGTCTGGAAACGTTCCCTGGGCAAGGGATTGGTTACAAGTGAGGTAAGTGATGGTCAAGTGAGGCGAAAACATGTTGTAATGATATATGAAAGGTGAAAAGCTGTTACACATATGTACAATTAAGGCAATGACATTACTGCAACATGGTGCTACAGTAGAATGTTATCACTTCCCATTTAAAGGAAATGTTTGTGATTTTTTGTTTGTTTATGGTTCTGTAACCTCTGTTGCACACTTTCTTTTACTACTGATTTAATTCATAAAAGCTAATTAGAACTCATACTATTGTCACACAGCAGCAATACATGTATATACATATTCACACATGTGATGCAAGCAAAATGAGGCACAATGCAGGCATTTTTCACAGAGTTCTCTAAACCAAGAAAGAAGAATTGTCTTTGTAATAAATGCAGTTCTTAATATTGAAATAATGAAATGTCAACAGTTAAACACTGAGATTAGTGTTATCTACTGGAAATTATTAGCAACCACTTCAAAACTCAGAATATAATGTAGGTCATTCATGCGACTAGAAATTGACTTCAATCTACAAATAAACCACTCTATTATTTAACAGTGCAGTTTATCTGTGTAATGTAACTGACGTAGTTTCTTCATTTCATTTTAGAAACATGGCTTGAAAATGTATTCACGGAATCCTAGCTCGTACACACCACTACGGGAGTCAGCGTGGCAGAAAAATGGGGCAAGATCTCTTACTTTGGGATTAGATGAGCTTAGAAACGAGAGACAAATAGCCATGTTTTCACAGAAAGATTCCCAGGTAATGACCATTTTCATAATACTTATTATTGTATATGGTTTATTTTATTTTAATAAATTCTAGGAATTGGACACAGAATGTATCTCAGAAAAAAATTCTACTGTTCATCCAGAATTTATGAATTTGGATTAAATATAATGTGAAATCCTGATTTCCCATTAAATTTGGAAAATGACATGTCTATGGCTACTGTATTCATGGATAATGGAATAGTCTTTGATAGTACAACATGGAACCTTGGCTTACTAAATAAATTATCTAAATTAGAATTACTTACTAGTCTAATCAGGTTTATTAGCTCATTCCTTTCTGAGAGAAAATTCAGAGTCTTCTTTGAAGGTGAAATATCTATGCCATAGGATATACAAGCAGAAGAGCCACAAGGTTCCATCTCATCCACCCACATTGTACACTATACACACTGAAATGCCAACAGTCATGGGATAGGTACCTAGTATCATGTTGGACCCCCTCTAGCCTGGGGAATGCAGCAACTCGACTTGGCATTGATTCCACAAGTGGATGGAAGACCTCTGGAGAGATGTTGAGCCATGCTGTCTGGATAGCCGCCCACAGTTCCCTGGTATTTGTGGGTGCAGAATTTTGGGTGTGAACAGACTTCTCCACCACGTTCCATAAATGCTAGATTGGGTTCATGTTGGGCGAATGTGGTGGCCACACCATTTGTCAGAACTCTCCAGAATACTCCTCAAACCAATTTTGGACAACTCTGGCCCGATGACACAATGCCTTGTCCTGCCGGAATATCCAATTATGGGGGTACATGATGTCCATGATGGGCTGCAAATGGTCACCAAGCAGTGTAATGTAGTGGTCACCAGTCAATGACATGTTTAGGTGGACAAGCGGACCCAACTTATGCCATGTGAACACACCCAACACCAGTATGGAACCACCACCAGCCTGCACAGTGCTTTGTTGACAACTGGGGTCCATTGCCTCATGGAGGTCTGTGCCACACACGAACCCTACCATCCGTCCAAAACAACTGGTATCTGACACATCGAACCATGCCACATGTTGCCAATCTTCCAGGGTCCAATTAGCAACGTCACAAGCCCAGGTGAGGTGCTGTGTCCTGTGTCGTGGTGTTAACAGAGGCACTCTGGTCAGTCTTCTGCTCTCATATACCATGAAAGCTGAAGAACGCTGCACTGACCTGCTGGATATGCGTCTGGTACCTCCTGCATTGAATGTGGATGTGATTTCAGCCAGTGTCGCTTGTCTGTTACCATGGACAATTCTAGCTAGACGCCACTGGTCACGCTCATTAAGCACCTGTGGTCGGCCACTGAGCTGTCCACAGTGGGTGGAAATGCCATCCACAAAGTATTCCCAGTACACATGTGACACCATGGATTGAGGAATATTGAATGACCGCACAACTTCGGAAATAGAATGTCCCTCCCACCTGGCACCACTATCATGCCCCGTTCAAACTCCAGTAATTCACATCGACTTGCCATGAGCAGACTGGCTGGTGTTCGACCTGACTCACGGGAGAACACCTCACAACTGATACTGCTCTGGGCATTCCCAAGCCGTCAAGGGACGGTGGTGCCACTTAAAAATAAATTTACATACTGCCATCCCATGACTTTTGGCACTTGAGTGTATATAAAAACGATTGCCCCAAACAATTGGTGTCTATCTAGATCTCTTTGTTGATGACACCTGTATATATGTGACAGACCACAAAGAGACTTAGGTTCTCAAGAAGCTGCAATGAGGTCTCAGTGCTATGGAGACATGATGTGAGCACTGAACATAAAATCAAAGAAGATAAGATCCAGGCCATCTACTTTTCTCATAGACTTAGGCTCCTTGAGAAGCATCAAGCTCATGACCATTCAAGTGACTAAGCTGCCATCTTAGCATAAGATGAGTAAGCTAGACACTATCTGCTGTGCAAAGCCTGGATTTACAGAGGGCTTCTATATAGTGCACAAGGAAGAATTTTCAATAACATGCTATTCATGTGATACGTACACTTGACAAAGGCGAATCGAAGCCTATTTATGAGAGACTAACCCATCCTCTCATAAAAGAGAATGTTACATAAGGATTATAGCATCAAATGATCAGATAATAGAAATCTCTGGTAGTGAGCCTCAAGGTGTTTGGTGCCAAGATGAACTGACTGGTGGTAAACTGTCAATTATAGAGTAAATCTGACTTTGTCATTTGAGCAGGAGCCAGTTGATAGTCTGTGAAGAGAAGACTAAAAGTCTGGTGTGAGATGGTCGCCATCCCTGCAGTTAGTTAGCTTTTGTAAGGCAGTCTGTGAAAAGAAGACTAAGTCACTGCAGTTAGGGCAGAAACTGAAGAATCTACACTGTTAAAGCTGTTACCAGGGAACTACCAGTGAAGACAGAGCATGCTGAAAAGACTTAGTGTGTGCTGTAGTCATTTGTAAAGTGTGGAAATCAGCAGTATTGTTGTAGTTACTTGTAATTAAGATTTGTATATGGTCAATAAATCCAATCTGCCATCAGGTCTACATCTATAATCACTCAAAATCATGACAATAGCTCAAATATTCCACTGAAATACTAACATCACTGAACAACATCTTAAATATACTGAATTAAATTCATAAGTGACCATCTTCTAAATGATGACTGGAGGTTGAACCAATGACCGGAATTGTGCCTATATTTGAAGAGTCTGTTGACTATTAAAAGAAGATGGGGGTATCTCAATTGGTGTAGTGACTGGACTATGAGCTGGAAAACCAAGGATTCAGGTTTCTTGGAAGAGGTAAGAGATTCTTCTCTTCTCCACAATGCCCAGAGTATCTCTGGGCCCCACCCAGACTCATATACCATACTCAGGTTGGTTTCCCCTGGGGTAAACTGGCAGAAGTGGAAGCTGACCACTCACCTCCATCTAGTACTGAGTTCAGGAATGGCGAAGCTATACCTCCACTCCAACACACATCTTCATGGCATGGTGCTTAATTAATTAAGCCCAGGGATAACTTTACCTTTTACCTTTGTTAACCACAAAAAGTGTCAACCAGTTCTTTTTCAAATGCTAGGGAATTGGCGTATACGTACATAAATAATATCTATAAACTTGAAAAATTCTCTGGGTATTTCAGATAAATCAGTGTATGGGTTAAAATATAACCTTGATTTGTAAGTATTTTTTATCTAATACAGGATGCTGAGATTTAAATTATTAAGTTAGATGTGATATCTCAAATTCACTACTTTCAGTTCCAGTTTTGAAACATATAACATTGATATACATTGAATGTCAGGGAAGGAAAACAATGAAAAATAATTAATAATAAATGTGTTTGCAGGCTTACAGACACTATGAAGAGAAGGTTAAGAGACTAGTGACAGCTATTGAACCAATACTGGATTTATCTGTAGCTGATACAATGACATTTCTTAGAGCAGAATCCGTTTGGGGCAAGATAAATGCTCTATTACGTAGTCCATGTCTGAGGAAGGCAGGTTAGAAAATTATAGTCTAATAAATGAGATGTAATATATGAACACATATTGCAAATAGTTATAAATAAGCCAGGTGACAAATGCTGAAACCAGTCACTGATTTTAATTAAGTAATTTATTTGTAAGGAAAATAAATGAACTGATGTGCCAGTTGCTTTGGCTCTCCAGAACAAAATACAGATTTCTGATTAGAAAACTGGATGCTTCCTATTGATGTATGCCAACAACTTGGTTGCATTAATACAATATGTAAACCTTTTGTAATAAATATTTGACAGGTGCTAAAGAAAGGTTGAAATTTTTT